CCAGTGGTGTCGACTTTGCTCTATACATCTGGGATTTACAAAAGGGGCTAGAGGAGTGAAATTTGATGGATGTTGGGGCCCCACTGAGAATTAGGCCCCTAACTACCTTTGAGAATCTGGGCCTGAGTGCCTAAGTCCTCTAAGCTCCTTTGACTATCCTAGGCATAGCCTTCCAAGTTAACAACATTTAGCCCTTTTAAGCCATAGATCACATAGTGATCTACAAAGGTGAGTAGATATTATTGTATTAATGGCAGGGCAAGGTTAAATCATCATAATCCCTATTTTTTTCCAGCAACAAATCTCAAACCACTGTACAGAGGAGGTTAGTGTCTTTACATGTGTTTTACAGATGGGGAAACTGAAGTACAGAGTAGTGCAATAATTTGTCCAAGGACATTCTTCAAATTAGTGGCAGAACCCAGGTCTCCTCAGTCACAGTCCAGTGCTCTACCCAATAGGCCACACTGCCTCCTTTTGAGCAACCCGAGCTCTGTGCTTTTTATTCTGTCTGCGTATTGCTAAGTCAAAATCCCAGATCCAAACACCCCTAAATTTGTGGTGGGGGGAGAAGAGGAGTTAATCTGAACCTAGAGCCAGATTTCACAAATGACCCTTATTTTTATAACATGCCACACTAAAATCCCAGCTCTGCACTCTGGGTTTTTCAGGATCTGAAGCTGAACATTGCAGCTTGAGTCCTTTGCTATCAAACACCAAGGTCCTGTCTACTCTGGGTGGACATTAGAGGTTCCATGGCAGAATAGGTGTGACGTTTAGCATGCTGGGCCAAAATTCTCTCACTGTTGTGTAGTGTGCTGTGGCCCCCGTTCTCTGCCCACCTCTGCACTTTAGAGGCAATTGCATTGCAGCATGGTAGAGGTTCCTGCATTGTTTGTAAAGCAGTTTGAAATGAAAGATATGCAAGATATTGAGCCCAGTCCTGCAGTTCCTTCATCACACAAGCAGTCCCGTCGACTCCAATAGGCAGATTCAAAGGGATAGCAAAGGGACCACAGGATTTGGGTCATTATTAGTAGAGTAACAAGCAATCAATGTCAATTTTGTGCACATATCAATGGTGCCTTGTTAGGGAGAGATGCTCTGCAGACTCAGTTGAATCAAACGTTGGCAGTCTTTCCAGAGGAATAATGTCTGAGCTAGAGAAGGAGAAGACAGTTCAGTAACTAGATTTGCACAAATATCCAGATGGGTTTTTAAAGCTCAAGGAACCTGTTTTGTAACCTGTTCTCTGCCATTTGTCCGAGTGGCCCTTTGCAATGAAAGTAGAAAATCTTTTGTTTTCAGCACCTTGCTTCAGTTAATCAGCTTGGGCAATCAATCACCCCAGAGTGTTCTCCTTTGCGCCTCTATCCATTGTCTCAGATAATCCCCTGGTGTTAAGCAATTAAACTGTGGCACATTGTAAAAAATAAATAAATAAATAAATGTAAAAACTTGTGTGTCCTACAGCTGGAGTATAATATCATGTGGCATCGTTTGTCAAGATCAAATATCTGTTTTGGGAAAGCAATGCTGCATGCTTTTCCTTGCCAAAGTCATGCAAGAGGATAGGGTTAAAGGGATTTAAATTTTCAGAGATTCCTTGAGGTTCCAGTCTACTCCTTACAGCTAACGTTTCTCATTTGTCATCTCTGCACTCCCATAAAAGATCTGGAGTAAAAAACCCTCCATAGATCTCTGTGATGGGGTTTACAGACCACACACTAAACTAGAGCAAGGCATAGGGCAGTCCTGGGCTAAGGAGGCTCGCCCCTCAGCAGCTGCATGGTGTGCACTAAGTGGAGGGACATTTTAAAAGGGCATTGGCAAGCCTGGGGAAGGAGCTGTACACTGCACTGGAAAGCGAGGCTGATGCCTGCAGCTGCAGGAATAGAAAGTGACTATGCTTCTGGAGTGGCTTTACCAGTACTAATTATCCAGTCCCTCCCCACCTCCCTTTTCTGTGGAGTTGGGAAACCCATGAGTGATCCTGAAGAACGGGTTGATATCCCCCTGGCAGATGAAACTGTTGATTGAAATTGATAGAACGCAATCCCTATGAGCAAAGGCTGAAGGAATGGTGTATGTTCAGCTTGGGAAAGAGGAAATTGGGGAGGGGGGGGGGGGAACGTGATAAACGTCTTCAAATACTTGAAAGGCTGCTATAAAAAAAATGTTTCCTCTCTTCCCACAGAGGGCAGGACAAGAGGCAGTAGGTTCAAACTACAGGACAGCAGATTTAGATTAAGTCTCAGGAAAAACTTCCTAGCTGTAAGAACAGTAGGACAATGGAACAAACTACCTAGGGAAGCCATGGACACTCCTTCACTGTAGGTTTTCAAAAGGAGACTGGATAGCAAAGATCTTGGATGGTTCAGACACAACAGATCCTGCAACGTGGCTGGGGGTTAGACTAGATGACCCTTGTGGTCCTTTCTAACCCCATGGTTCTACTAAGATTGTGCCCATGCCCCAAATGCAGGAGCTCCAGCCTAGTAGGAAGAGACCCACAGGGTAGTGTAACGGAGTGGAACAACAAGTGATCTGGATGCAGCACATCCCTTGAGGACCCTGGGTTGGAACCTGGTGGAGAGAGAGTGCCTGGGTCTCCCTACTTTGCTTCCTCCTCCTCCCCTTGGGGTCCTGTCCCATCAGAGAGAAGGGCCATTCAGTAGGCCTGAGGCCTTCCAAACATGACCCAGAAAGGTCCCTCCAGAACAGAGAGGGACTAAAAAGAATTGTAGGGTAACAGCTTGATCCCTACACCAGCTGGCTTTCTGCTACAGTGTCCCTTTGTGAAGATATTTTTAAAGGGACACGAATGTGGAAACTCTCTAGGAAAATAAGAACTCAGTGTGTTACTGGCCTCAAATAAACCACTACACCTATAGCGTTTTGGGATTATTACAGTGTTGCCACCTTCTCATGGTTTTATGGTACTAGGCAAGTCTTGTTGTGATGGTTGGTGGATTTTTTCCTCTTGAAGCCACAGCTTCAAGTCATGTGATGTGGGAATCTCAGCTTTCAATTTAAAAAAAGATTCCAGCCCTTGACATTGTGAAGAAAAGCATTCAAAGTGACCTGTAAAAGCTTCAGAAGCTAGATAGAAAGAACCCAAAATTAATTTTTACCTCATGATATTTAAACCAGTTGTATGATTGGGGGGGGCTTATTCATTAGTTTTTAACCCTTGTGGTTAGTAATAATGTCACTTGGGAGTCCTATTGTGCTAGGCACTGTACACATGCAGAACATATGCCTTCTTATGCTCAACTGTGCATCATATGCCCTATTACTGACTGCACTGAAGAAGATTCTTTTAGTTCAAGTGGCAAGCACCTGTTTCTTTGAACCAGAAGGAGCTGCATTCTATCCTTGCTATTGGATGCAATGCTGTGGTGTGCAGTTAACTGATGAACATTAGATGCTAGGGGAGAATATAGCAAAGGTTCTCTTTTGTTTTGTATTTTTCCTAGTTGTTTACCATTTAGGAACCTCTGATGTATTCCTGGATCCCATTTTCATGCTTAAGGGCATGACACATTATCATTCACCACCTTAGTTTACATGTCGCAAACCTAGGTCAATTTCTTTCAAAATCACTTTTTTTATGGCTCTATTGAACTATTTGCCACATTATTTATACGTTAATGCAATGAATCCCTCCGGAGAGCATGCAGTCTAATAAATAACGTGACAAATCATTAAGCACTGTGATAAAATCAAGCCATTTAAGAATACATCAACCTGTGTTGCCTTCATGTAAAATAAGCTGCAAGGGCCATTTGCTGAGACACACACACACACGGGCAAAATGCCTTGTATTATTGAATGAGATGGACTGAAGGAATGTTGGCTTTTGTGGGTTGCTTTTTGTTTTCTTTATAATTTAGCTACTAAAGTTGGAAAGTGAAAGATGAAATAGAGTGCAATGGGTTTGGGGGACAATACATGAGGATTGCACTCAGAAAGATGAAATACCACGTCTTCAAACTAAGGACCCAAGTCAAGCCAACAAACATGCATATCAAAGTAGTAAGTGTGTGTGCAAGAAAAGCGTGTGCACGCAAAGCAAGGAATTGCGCACGCAATGCAGGGTTCTATGGGTGCAAAGCAGTGTGCAGGACCTGCAAAGCAGGAAACTCTGGGTGCAGAGCAAGGAACTGAGTATGCAAAGCATGACACACTGGGTATGAAATACAAAGACCTTGGCATGCAAAGCAAGGCATTATGGGTGCAAACCAGAGAGGTCGGTGTGCAGAGCAGACAATTAGGTGTTCAAATCAGGGTAATGGGCATGAAATTCAGAGGTCTGAGTGTTCAAAGCAAGGCACTAGGTGGGAAAGCCCAGGGCTGTGTGCAAAACTGGGTACAGTTCACACAAAATTCCCTGAAGAGCACACAGATCCATTAATCTCCCCCATACGTGCAGATTTCAGAGTAGCAGCTTTGTTAGTCTGTATCCGCAAAAAGAAAAAGGAGTACTTGTGGCACCTTAGAGACTAACAAATTTAATTTGAGCATGAGCTGTAGCTCACGAAAGCTTATGCTCAAATAAATTTGTTAGCCCTGGTCTACACTAGGACTTTAGGTCGAATTTAGCAGCGTTAAATCGATGTAAACCTGCACCCGTCCACACAACGAAGCCCTTTATTTCGACTTAAAGGGCTCTTAAAATCGATTTCCTTACTCCACCCCTGACAAGTGGATTAGCGCTTAAATTGACGTTGCCGGCTCGAATTTGGGGTACTGTGGACACAATTCGATGGTATTGGCCTCCGGGAGCTATCCCAGAGTGCTCCATTGTGACCGCTCTGGACAGCACTCTCAACTCAGATGCACTGGCCAGGTAGACAGGAAAAGAACTGCGAACTTTTGAATCTCATTTCCTGTTTGGCCAGTGTGGCAAGCTGCAGGTGACCATGCAGAGCTCATCAGCACAGGTGACCATGATGGAGTCCCAGAATCGCAAAAGAACTCCAGCATGGACCGAACGGGAGGTACAGGATCTGATCGCTGTTTGGGGAGAGGAATCCGTGCTATCAGAACTCCGTTCCAGTTTTCGAAATGCCAAAACCTTTGTCAAAATCTCCCAGGGCATGAAGGACAGAGGCCATAACAGGGACCCGAAGCAGTGCCGCGTGAAACTGAAGGAGCTGAGGCAAGCCTACCAGAAAACCAGAGAGGCGAACGGCCGCTCCGGGTCAGAGCCCCAAACATGCCGCTTCTATGATGAGCTGCATGCCATTTTAGGGGGTTCAGCCACCACTACCCCAGCCGTGTTGTTTGACTCCTTCAATGGAGATGGAGGCAATACGGAAGCAGGTTTTGGGGACGAAGAAGATGATGAGGAGGTTGTAGATAGCTCACAGCAAGCAAGCGGAGAAACCAGTTTTCCCGACAGCCAGGAACTGTTTCTCACCCTGGACCTGGAGCCAGTACCCCCCAAACCCACCCAAGGCTGCCTCCTGGACCCAGCAGGCGGAGAAGGGACCTCTGGTGAGTGTACCTTTTAAAATACTATACATGGTTTAAAAGCAAGCATGTGAAAGGATTACTTTGCCCTGGCATTCGCGGTTCTCCTAGATGTAGTCCTAAAGCCTTTGCAAAAGGTTTCTGGAGAGGGCAGCCTTATTGCGTCCTTCATGGTAGGACACTTTACCACTCCAGGCCAGTAACACGTACTCGGGAATCATTGTAGAACAAAGCATTGCAGTGTATGTTTGCTGGCATTCAAACAACATCCGTTCTTTATCTCTCTGTGTTATCCTCAGGAGAGTGAGATATAATTCATGGTCACCTGGTTGAAATAGAGTGCTTTTCTTCAGGGGACACTCAGAGGAGCCCATTCCTGCTGGGCTGTTTGCCTGTGGCTAAACAGAAATGTTCCCCACTGTTAGCCACAGGGAGGGGGGAAGGTTGAGGGGGTAGTCACGCGGTGGGGGGAGGCAAAATGTGACCTTGTAACGAAAGCACATGTGCTATGTATGTAATGTTAACAGCAAGGTTTACCCTGAAAGAGTGTAGCCACTGTTTTATAAGATTGTCTTTTTAAATACCGCTGTCCCTTTTTTTTCTCCACCAGCTGCATGTGTTTCAATGATCACAGGATCTTCTCCTTCCCAGAGGCTAGTGAAGCTTAGAAAGAAAAAAAAAAATGCACTCGCGATGAAATGTTCTCTGAGCTCATGCTGTCCTCCCACACTGACAGAGCACAGACGAATGCGTGGAGGCAAATAATGTCAGAATGCAGGAAAGCACAAAATGACCGGGAGGAGAGGTGGCGGGCTGAAGAGAGTAAGTGGCGGGCTGAAGAGAGGGCTGAAGCTCAAATGTGGCAGCAGCGTGATGAGAGGAGGCAGGATTCAATGCTGAGGCTGCTGCAGGACCAAACCAGTATGCTCCAGTGTATGGTTGAGCTGCAGCAAAGGCAGCTGGAGCACAGACTGCCACTGCAGCCCCTATGTAACCAACCGCCCTCCTCCCCAAGTTCCATAGCCTCCACACCCAGATGCCCAAGAACGTGGTGGGGGGGGCGTCTGGCCAACCAGCCACTCCACCACAGAGGATTGACCAAAAAAAAGAAGGCTGTCATTCAATAAATTTTAAAGTTGTAAACTTTTAAAGTGCTGTGCTTAAAGTGCTGTGTGGCATTTTCCTTCCCTCCTCCACCACCCCTCCTGGGCTACCTTGGTAGTCATCCCCCTATTTGTGTGATGAATGAATAAAGAATGCATGAATGTGAAGCAACAATGACTTTATTGCCTCTGCAAGCGGTGATTGAAGGGAGGAGGGGCGGGTGGTTAGCTTACAGGGAAGTAGAGTGAACCAAGGGGCGGGGGGTTTCATCAAGGAGAAACAAACAGAACTTTCACATGGTAGCCTGGCCAGTCATGAAACTGGTTTTCAAAGCTTCTCTGATGCGTATCGCGCCCTCCTGTGCTCTTCTAACCGCCCTGGTGTCTGGCTGCGCATAACCAGCAGCCAGGCAATTTGTCTCAACCTCCCACCCCGCCATAAACGTCTCCCCCTTACTCTCACAGATATTGTGGAGCACACAGCAAGCAGTAATAACAGTGGGAATATTGGTTTCGCTGAGGTCTAAGCGAGTCAGTAAACTGCGCCAGCGTGCCTTTAAATGTCCAAATGCACATTCTACCACCATTCTGCACTTGCTCAGCCTGTAGTTGAACAGCTCCTGACTACTGTCCAGGCTGCCTGTGTACGGCTTCATGAGCCATGGCATTAAGGGGTAGGCTGGGTCCCCAAGGATACATATAGGCATTTCAACATCCCCAACAGTTATTTTCTGGTCTGGGAATAAAGTCCCTTCCTGCAGCTTTTGAAACAGACCAGAGTTCCTGAAGATGCGAGCATCATGCACCTTTCCCGGCCATCCCACGTTGATGTTGGTGAAACGTCCCTTGTGATCCACCAGAGCTTGCAGCACTATCGAAAAGTACCCCTTGCGGTTTATGTACTCGGTGGCTTGGTGCTCCGGTGCCAAGATAGGGATATGGGTTCCATCTATAGCCCCACCAGAGTTAGGGAATCCCATTGCAGCAAAGCCATCCACTATGACCTGCACATTTCCCAGGGTCACTACCCTTGATATCAGCAGATCTTTGATTGCGTGGGCTACTTGCATCACAGCAGCCCCCACAGTAGATTTGCCCACTCCAAATTGATTCCCAACTGACCGGTAGCTGTCTGGCGTTGCAAGCTTCCACAGGGCTATCGCCACTCGCTTCTCAACTGTGAGGGCTGCTCTCATCTTGGTATTCATGCGCCTCAGGGCAGGGGAAAGCAAGTCACAAAGTTCCATGAAAGTGCCCTTACGCATGCAAAAGTTTCGCAGCCACTGGGAATCGTCCCAGACCTGCAACACTATGCGGTCCCACCAGTCTGTGCTTGTTTCCTGAGTCCAGAATCGGCGTTCCACAGCATGAACCTGCCCCATTAGCACCATGATGCATGCATTGGCAGGGCCCATGCTTTCAGAGAAATCTGTGTCCATGTCCTGATCACTCACGTGAGCGCGCTGACGTTGCCTCCTCGCCCGGTATCGCTTTGCCAGGTTCCGGTGCTGCATATACTGCTGGATAATGCGTGTGGTGTTTAATGTGCTCCTAATTGCCAAAGTGAGCTGAGCGGCCTCCATGCTTGCCTTGGTATGGCGTCCGCACAGAAAAAAGGCGCGGAACGATTGTCTGCTGTTGCTCTGACGGAGGGAGTGGCGACTGACGACAAGGCTTACAGGGTTGGCTTCAGGGAGCTAAAAATCAACAAAGGGGGTGTCTTTACATCAAGGAGTATTTCAGGCAGGACTTCACGGAGGGTTCCAATAAGAAATGGTGCACCTAAGTTATCGTTCTTATTGGAACAAGGAGGTTAGCCTGGCCTCTGATTGATACATGGCTAGATTTACCTCGCTGCACCTTCTCTGTGAGTGACTGCAGTGTGACCTAAAGGAATGAGTCCCCTAGACAGGGGAGGAGGCAAATGAGTACAAAACAAATCTGGTCTATTTCTTGTTTTGATCCACTCCATTTATCTTTTACATCTTTGGCTGGCAGCAGACAGTGCAGAAGGACTGCATGCCATCCACATCTCATGGCTGCTCAGCAGAAGATGGTACAGTACGACTGCTAGCCATCCTCATCTCTTGCCTGCCTGGCAGAAGATGGTACAATATGACTACTAGCAATCCTCATCTCTTGCCTGCCTGGCAGAAGATGGTACAATACGCAACCTACTATTGCCTGCCTGGCAGAAATGGACAATACGACTACAGCAATCCTATCGCCTGCCTGCTCACCATAAGACGGTTCAATAGGACTGACTGCAGGACTAAAGAGAATGACCTGGTCAAGTCACTCCAAATTTAGTCCCTGCGCCCATGTCTGCCCAGGCGCTCCCAGCCGACGTGGCCAGGAGCACCTCGGACACGACGAGGACGACTACCAGTCGTATTGCACCGTCTGCTGCCAGAAGGCAATGGGTTGCTGCTACTGTGTAGCAAAGCTGTACCGCATCTGCCAGCACCCAGGAGACATAGGGTGATGGTTACCTGAGCGGGCTCCATGCTTGCCGTGGTATGGCGTCTGCACAGGTAACTCAGGAAAAAAGGCGCGAAACGATTGTCTGCCCTTGCTTTCACGTAGGGAGGGAGGGAACGGGGGCCTGATGATATGTACCCAGAACCACCCGCGACAATGTTTTAGCCCCATCAGGCATTGGGATCTCAACCCAGAATTCCAATGGGCAGCGGAGACTGCGGGAACTGTGGGATAGCTACCCACAGTGCAACGCTCCGGAAGTCGACTCTAGCCTCGGTACTGTGGAAGCGCTCCGCCGAGTTAATGCACTTAATGCACTTAGAGCATTTTCTGTGGGGACACACACTCGAATATATAAAACCGATTTCTAAAAACCCGACTTCTATAAATTCGACCTTATTCCGTAGTGTAGACATACCCTTAGTCTAAGGTGCCACAAGTACTCCTTTTCTTTTTGCGCATACATGTGGAAAGACCCACTGCTTAGTTCAACCCACCTGCAAAGAGCATTTAGCCCTTCATTAACCAGGCTCAGTGGGGCCTTGAGCATCTCCACTTAACCAAACACAAAGACCTCTCACCTTGGCCGTAGCTGGTTAGTGAGTGTGGGAGGAGAGGTGTCTGAAGGTTGCTTTTCACTTGTGTAGTGGGATATGCAGGAACCTACCCCAGCCTGGTTATAGAGGGGTATTGAGTTGCCTCTGGCCACCCATTGTCTTCAGTGGGAATGCAGAATGTAATAGAGCCAAATCTAGCCCTAGGATGCTACCCACACAGGATGTTGACTTCACTGCCAAAATGGGGTAGGGACAGTCTTTTCGGTTTCCATTTGTACAGCACCTAGAGCTATGTGGCCCTGATCTAAGACTGGGGCTCCTGGGTGCTACTATAGTTCACCTAATAAAGTACAGCATCTAGCGCAGTGAACTTCTAGGTTGTACCATACTACACCTAATAAATAATGTACAACACCTACTGCATGAGGGTCCTTCTGGTCCATGACAGGCTCCTAGGCAGTTATATATTCAGGTTATTAGTTATTTATTTTATTAACTCATCTGTGATAGCGAAAGTTCTTACAGAAAGACAACAGGAACGCTGCAAAATACAGCCCAAGTAAACATTCATTTCCCCCTCCTATTTGGTATTTTCCATCCCTGTGAAGGGACTCAGAGAAACTCGGCATGTACCTAGATTTTTCAATAGACAAATTATATAAACAGAGGGCCTGATTTCTAAACAATAGTTGGATGTACACTTGGCATGACTGCACATGCAAAACTGGTAATTGTGCAAGTAGTCATTAGCATGCAAAAATCTCCTGATTTGCATATAGTCATATTAATTGCACATGTAAATTAGTCTTGCTCTGGCATGCCTAAGGCGTTTGAAAAGATGGCCCTGGAAAAAATAAAAATAAATACACTTGTTTTATCTGTGTAGTTTAACGGATCAAAAGCCTCTGTTCCTGTTTCTGGATTCCTCTTTTTTTAAAAAAAAAAAAAACACAAACAGAACATACAAAAGTTTCATGAAGTTTAGCACAATTTCCAGAATGTGTTACCAACGTTCATTCTCCTCCCATTTAAAAACAGTCATCCACTGGAGAATAGAAACAAGGCCAGGTGATGTTTGACCAATCACACAACACAAATCCCAACTAATCCTAGTGAACAGTTCACAAACAGCCAAGAAACTAAAGATGATGCATCGAAACAATTCAGTGGAGCCTTTCACAAATAATTACTGTTTGCTGACTTCGGGATTGAACTGTAAACAAGCCATGAAGTAAAAAAAAGATGTTAAGTTCTTAATGAGCAAGGTCTTCAGCTGGTGTATCTAGATAAGGTATTTATACAGTCTCCATTATCATAGCATTTAAGCATCTCAGAATCTTTAATATATTTCTTCTCATGATGCGCCTGAGAGGGAGTGCTGTGTCATCATCCCTATTGTACTGAGGAGGAACTGAGCCACATAGTGTAAGGGCCAGATGTGCAAAGGTACTGGGTGCCTATCTCCCATGGAAAGTCAATGCAAGCTAAGCATCTAATGCACTTGGATGTTTCTGTAAACCACATTTGGGCTCTATAGGTATCTAAATGTCTTTGAAAAATCTGTTCCTAAGTGACTTACCCAGGGTCACACAGGGAGTGCGTGCCACAGCAGGGACTTGAACCCACATCTCCTAACTTCTAGGCAAACATGTATTGGACCCACCTTCCCATCTGATTTTACTGAACATCAGCTGGTGTGAAAATCAGCCTATGATCTGGCATCTACAATGAATAGCTCCAACTGCTCTATTACTGGGAATGGATTTCCAGCTCAGAACCTCTTCCTGAGCTCTCAGGAGCCCAACTCAGACAAGAAAACCCACATAACTTGCGCACCATCCTGCTTCGGAGCCATTTTTTGCCTCTGGCACTTACAAATGATGTAATCCACTTTATTTGTGT